GCATTGAATTATATAATCAAAATCTTTGTTTTGTCCATAACAAACACGGTACAATTTATTCCCAAATAATCTTCTTGTTGTTGTTTCTAAAAATGGAAAATTATTTAGTGGTGTTGAGGACGAGATAAAGTCAAAGCAATTTGTTGTGTTTTCGGTCAACAAAAAATTTAATGGAATTATTTGTTGCGAATAGTATGAGAGTAATTTGCCTCCTTTAATTTGAATAATTCCATTTTGATTAATTCCAGAGATTTCTTCTACAAATTTAACAGTTACCACATTTAAACTATAATTATTTATAGAGAAGTTGTTAATAATAATTCTAGTCTTATTGTAAATATACAATGTTTGACATACAACATTCACTTGAAAATATATAGTATCACTGATATAACAATGAAAGGTATAAATAAAAATATTGTTGCTTGTTGAACTGATAACAGTTTCATCAGAACAATTTATATACTTCCAATTTTCATTGCTTTGAATAGTATAGTTGTTATGTTTGATAATCAATTTTAAATTGGTGCGTGGGTTTATTGTGCAGTCGGTCATGACTTCACCTTGAAATGTGAAAAATCCATTTTTGTTATATTCACAGTCACAAAGAGTGTTCAAATAATTTTTGTGAATGACTCGATTTCCACATATTGTAAGTGGTGTTTGAATATCATTATTATTTGTTGAATTGATGTAGAAGAGAATTTGATTTTCCACATCATCGCTAATAATAAAAGTCATAATCGTAACAGGTTTATTAAAAGTGAAATTTCCCTTCGAAGTTATTGTCAAACTTCTGATGACCGTTTCCACATCAAAATACACTGAAACCCCACTCGACATTTTGAATTCTTTTAATGTCAGTATTTGATTATTTGTAGAGTTAAAAGTGTACAAAACATTTTCTGATAAAATCAACGAATTCCACATTGAAAGTCCAAAGTCGTAACTTTTTTCACCTTGTATTAAATTATAGGTAGTTTGTAAATTTAGGTCATAAAGAGAGTTGTTGAAGTTACAGTCGGGATAATTAAATTTTGTTTGGAAATTGATGTTATTGTTATTATCAACAGAAAAACATGAACAATCTTGCATTATAATTGACTGTGTTGTTATAACATATCTTGCCATTGTGACACCTACTTTACAAATTGGTAATATATTCAAATTGGGAAGTGAGTCTTTTTTGTACATTTCAATCTTATTAAAATAGCCAGTAGCAGCATATCTAATTGAATCGACATAGTACTGCATTTGTGAAATATCATTGCTAAAATCAAATGAAATGTCAGACGCTTCTGTGCCGTTGACAAATAAAAAGAGATCGTTGGGATGCTTTAAAACCCACCATTTTCCATTTCTATAAGAATAGAGGGCAATTCCTTGGTTAATTGGTTCAACAAAAGGAATATACAAATCGTTAGTGGCTTTTCGACAATTGTTACTTTCACAACCCAAAATAATAGATAGTCCGTTTGGCATGTTTGTATCATTGATGTAAAATCTCTCTTGTGTGTTTGCTGTTTGAATAAACAATTTTTCGACAACTACTCCTTTTTCGAAATAAAAGTCTGTTGATATAGCTGTTGGTGTCTTTGATATGTATGTGTAAGTATTGTCAGAGCAACATGAAATATTAAGGGTTATTTGTTGGTGAGTGTAATCATTTGTTTTGATCGAAAAAGCTTTGTTCACCACAGATTCATTATGAGTTGGGTCTTTTAACGACAAACTCATAGAAAATACAAACAAGGTTATAAAAACGTTTTCAACCAATAACATTAAAAACAAATATCAATTAAGTTTAGATTGATTTATAAATATTTAAAAAACAGTTTAAACATTTTTGAAATTATTTGGAAATATTTTAAATAATAAAGTTAATTAAACACTGTGTTTACCGAAATAATGTATTGTATTAAGAGTGTTACCAATTTCAATTCACAATAACAACGAAAATAATTGATGTTTTTATATATTAATTTAAATCAAAATGTTATTAACACTTAAAAGGAATAAAAATGCATTTTCGAGAATAACAAAATTATTTTATAAGCTTTTTTACTGAAATTGTTAAATCATATCAACAACACCATTCAACTTAGACTATTAATTGTTCTTTGTTTCGCTTCAGCCACAGGTTCTTTTTTGTATTTTACCTAAGACTGATAAATAAAATATTTATTTATTTATTATTTAAGACTACGTCCAAATCAATTTTATTGAAGATATCTTGGATTATATGATCAAATTATAAACCGGCTTTTGTAGCGTCAGAAAGTCTATCCATGTTGTCGTGGACTTTGTCTTTTCATCTTATCGGCCAAGTCCTTTGAGCTTTTATCAGATTATTCAAGTGACTTGCTGATGAGCTTTGGCTCTTGCTGCTATTCTTCTTCCCTATTTTTTTATTTCCAATTTTTTGTCAAGGCTTTATGTATACTTAAATCATTAAGTTTTTTATTACAACTATTATAAAAAAATTAAATACTTTTATGGTATTATTTAATAGTTAAATTCTAATAACTATATGGCATTTTGTGTATTTAAAGATTATTTTAAGTTCTGATATATACATAAAAAATAAAATTTAAATTAATTTTTTTAAAAATAATTTAAAATAAATACAGTCATTATTGTCAAGATGACTGGGTTTGGGAAAATGGTTATTGTCAAGAAGACTTTTTGAAAATAAATTAACTTATAAATAAATTAAAAATAGATCGACAAAATAAATATGTTTTGACCATTTTAATATTAAAATTATAATAAATAAAAATATTTCAAAATAAATAAATTTAAATATTTTTGTGATTTAAAGATTTTATAAACTGAATAAACACAAAATAATGAAAACAGACAAAACCATTAAATACAAAAGGGTTTTTCTTGAGAATTAGCAGAGAAAAGAGTTGCTGTCAATTAAAAAAACAATCCAAATGCTACTGCCAGAATGATTAAAGAAATGTTTCTCCAAAAATTGGTGTCAATACATCAATAGAAACTGTCAGAAAACTAATTTTGAAATATCAAAACGAAGACTTTGAATTTACCAGAGACACTCAAAAAATAGAATAAAGTAAAATATCCGTTATTGCAAAGCGAGATTGTAAACACAATAATTGATGCTGATAAGGAAGAATTTGACCCCTTGATACTTTCTGATAAAATGTTAGAACTTTTTTATTTATCCGAATAATTAATTTTTAAAATTATTTGATTTTTATGTTATAATACCAGTAAATTGATTTTGCCGTGTTTTTTATATTAAAGCTGTTTTTATTAAATAATCGGGTTTTGTATTTTATTGCCAAGAAGACCAAAGTCTAAAATTAGATAATATAAGCAGTCAATTACATAATAAGTCTTCTTGACAATAAGTCTACTAGACAATAATGACTGTACAGTGAAAAGGGTCTATTTGTCGCAATCTTATTTGTCGAGTCTATTAATCGCACAACTGGCCAATCATTGGGGTTTACGATAATTAAATTTTTTGTTCTCGAATCTGTAACTTTTGTTGATATAAAAACTAAATTTTTTATAAAAAATCAATTTCAATATAAAAAAAATTTTCTGCAAAATTCACTCATTTACTACAAATAGACGCTATTGACTGTATATGTTTGATAGTAAATATTCAAGACAAATAGATCTTTTTTCCAAATAATTATAATCATAATACTAGTAAATATTATTATAGAACATTAGAAAACCCAATTAAATTTTTTAACAAACAAAACTAAACAATAAAACATTTTTGATTCAGTCTGCATTATTTTCACTAAGGCGCTTTTTTAGTCTGGTTGTTCTTTTTTCAGTAATTCCTTCGACCTTGTCTTGTTCGAATCCACGAATCAAATAACTGTGATTTACAACATCGTCATCGACTCTGACTATCATCTTAGTTACATTGTCGAAATTCGGTCTAGCTTCAGGCTTTTGTTTCCAACATTCATCTATCATTGTACTATAAAGTGAAGGCATATCATCCTTAATAGGGAGTCGTTTTCCCTTTTCAACGTGGTTTTTAATTTCATAAATTGATTTGAACTCCTTGTAAGGCTCTTCTTGGTAATAGACTTCCCACGCAGTTATCGCAAAGGAATAGACATCACCAGCAAACGTATATTTATCTGTAAAAGTCTCAGGTGCAGCATAAATAGGTGTACCAAGACCTTTATCTTCATTGTTTTTCTTCAACGTTTTCTTAGTAAATCTTGACGTCCCAAAGTCTGTAATTTTGATAGTGCAGGCGCTATTTGAGTCGAATGAATTGACTAACATATTCTCAGGCTTTAAGTCGAGATGCATAATTCGATTCTCATGTAAAAATTGCATACCTCTTGCGGTATCAAACAACATTCGTACTTTCAACTTATATGGAAGAACTACATAATACTCTTTTTCTTTACGTAAATACTCTCCCAATGATCCAAGTACAAAGAACTGAATCACCATGGATACTTGTTGGATATATGTCACCGATCCCATGTAATTCGCAATAAACGGGTTCCTCAATTTACTCATAATCTCACACTCTTGAATAACATTCTTCTTCAACTCTTTCATCTCCTCTTCATCCAGATTTTCCCATCGAAACTGTTTCACTGCGACAGGGACACTCCTATAGTACCCAATATACACCCGACCCATCGCCCCTTCTGCTATTGGTTTTTCTGAAATATTCAATTCATCCAAGTCGATATGCGTCGAACTTGCTGCGTCTGTTGTGATGGTGATATTATAATATAATTGAGCTAAAATGTTCTTTTTTAGTTTTTCCATTAGCTTTGCGTCATCATTAGTCCAATTATTAAATGTCTTATTTTTTAGTAATTCTGCTACCGAATAAAGTGTAGTTTTAGATTTAGAAAAC